GGCCGAAGATCTCCAGGGTGCCATGGTCCAGCCTGAAAACTCCAACTTTGCGGACTGCCGGTTTCGGCGGGGCCGGCGCCTCGTCCAGCTTTGACTTCGCCGGCGTCTCGTCCTGCTTTGGCTTCGGCGGCACTTTCGGCTTCGGTGCTGCCGTGGGCCTTGAAGCCTCCGAAGGCGTCTTCGTCTCCTTCGGGCCGGGCTCCTCCTTCAACTTCATGCTCGCCTCGGGCTCCTTCTTCTTTTCATCTTCATCATCATGAGCCGGCGGAGGTGGAGCTGCCGCCTTTGTATGAGGCGATGGCGATGCCTGTGCCTCGCCGCCCGGCGTGCCCGCATTCTGCAGCTGCTGCTGTGCCATGAGGGTTGACAGCAGCGAGAAGCAGTGGGCCAGGATGGCATTGGTATCGCCGGCCACGGGCTCCATACCACCGTGCGACATGGCACCAAAAGGGTCCCTCCACCCAAAAGTGCAAAAGGTCTCGAGAGGAACACCCGAGGAGCATGAAACAAAAGCTCATGAAAGCTTCGCCAACCGATGCCAGTGCCATGTCATGTTCAGCTCAGGACACACAGCATGCAGCACAACTGAACGAACAACCCATGCTGCACACTGCTGCTCTCGCACAAACCCTCAGGGATTTTTTTCACCCTCATACACAAAATCCGGCGTCGGTGTTGCATCGCCTCCACATCCTCAGCGATCTCCACCGCGAGAGCCGCCCTTGCCACCAGCAGCTCTCCTCCTGGCCTGGTGGCACTCCAAGCAGCTGTGCGGATGCAGGTCCTGCCCACTCTCATTGAAGCACGGCCCAGCCCTCGTGCAACGGTTGACATTGCAGTGCGGGCACATCGCCTTCTGGCTGCTCCTTTGAAGGGCACCTTCTCGCTCAGCCACGGCCCTCTCCCTTCGGAGAACATCGGCCTCCCGGGCAGCCACCGCCTCCTCCCTCTCATCGAGATCCCTCTTTCGCTTCTTCCAGGCATTGCTGAGAGCGACGTCGTCCTGCCGGATCAGGGACTCGATGCGGTCCAGCATGCCTGCCATGGCTTCCTCGACCTGATCCATGTTGCTGCTGTCCGCCATGGCTTGCAACACGGAAGTCCCCAGGAAGAGCTAAGGGGAACTCAAAAGGAGGCTCAGGCCAAAATTGTCTGCAGTCTATGCTGTTGCTCAAGTGATGCGACACCATGCTCGCACAGACAGAACTCGCACCAACATTCGCACACAAGCGGGAGTCCTTGGCCAGCTTCTCGATGAGCCGGTCGTAGTCTTCGTTCACGGCCATCATCTTTTGCCCCTGCTGCCTCAATTGTTCATCGTGAATTCACACTTCAATGAGTCACAGCTGAAACTTGCAATCCGAGGCTCTTCCGGTGCTTGGCGGCCAAGGACTGCAGAAGGGCCCTGATGTCATCCACCGTCTTCGTGTTGGAGACGAGAATCGCATTGCTGGATTTCCCCGTCACTTAGTCATTGTCATGGTGCAATCAAATCAATGCAGCAAATGGGCAAACACTCATGCGTGCACAACTCGGTTTCTCGAGACTCAACTGTCAACCGCCCATTGCAGCTTCGGTGCCCAACTTCACCACGGAATTCAACCTCGTCCTCCAGACATTCCCTGCTGCACGAACCTGGCATGAGATTGCGGGAAGCGACAATTGGAAGACCAGCAATGGAACGTACAGTAAGAGTCCAAGACAGGCCCCATCCCCACCCCCCACCGCCCTCACCTTCTCAGCCTTGTTGTTCTCCGAGCTCTTGTCCTTCTGCTTCTTAACCATTCGAAGGGAGTCCTGAAGCAGCCCCTCCTCGGAGAGCAGTTCTTTCATCAGATTCAAGCAGTAGTAGTGGTAGTAGTAGTGATAGTAGTAGTAGTAGTAGTAGTAGTAGTAGTAGTAGTAGTTGTTGTAGTAGAAGTAGTAGTAAGTAGTAGCAGTAGCAGTGGCAGCAGCAGCAGGTAGTGGCCCCACTAGCAGTAGTAGTAGCAGCCGTAGGAGCCGCAGCAGTAGCTGTAGCTGTGGCAGTAGTAATTTGAGTGAGTTTGTGGTGGTAGTCGTCGCCTTTGCTACAGGGGCAGTAGCAGCAGGAGCAGTATCAGCGATAGTACTGTCATATCAATAATTCAAGCAGTGGTGGTGGTGGTGGTGGTGGTGGTGGTGGCGGCAATGATATCAGCAGCCAGGAGGTCGCTGTTGTTGCCGTTGTGGGTTTGTCAGCATGTTAATTATGGTCATGTCGGTTTCTATTCAGTATTATTAGTGGGAATCTGAATTTGTCTACACTGCACACACTATCCCAACAATCTTAATGCAAGCACTTGACTCGATCATTGCCATTGTCAACCAATGTGGAAGTTTCGCAAGCAAATAAGTTGCAATCGTACATCAATAGTATGTTACTGTTAAGGACCAAATCATATTTGATGACCCGAAACTGCCCAACCGCAATCCTAAGTAGTAGCCCTTCAGAAATGCCTCAACCAGTAGCAATAACCTCTGAACCGGACCAAAGCAGCAGGGATTTGGGTGTGTCATGAAAGCAAGAGCTCTGCTTGCTCGCTCATTCATTCACTCCTGCACTCATGCTTTCATATGCTCATTCTTTCATGCATTCGCTCACTCATTCACTCCATCATTTGCTCATTCATTCACTCAATGAGTTGCTCGTTCATTCACTCAATCATTTTGTCATTCACTCACTCCTCTCATTCCCTCACCTCACTCTTTAACCTTCCCTATAAACAAATAACCGCTGCCAAGACTCATAGGAACCCCCGATTTCCATCATGTCGGACGGCAGCATAAAGGCATAAACCCCCGAAAGGGCACATGCCAGCTGACGGACCGAAAGGTCCTCCAAGCAGCTCTGCTTTGAGCTCCTCGCGAACTCCTTGGACGGCAGGCCCACAGCCGCAGCCACGTCCACCTCCGGAGCCTCGCCACTCTCCTCCGACGGGGATGTCGAGCTGCTCTTGCCTCGGCGAAGCAGCAGATGCAGGCTTATATCACTCTCGCATATTCAAAGCCACATGCAGATCGAGATGCGACTTTTCTTCTTCTTGTTATTCTCCTTCTTCTTCTTGTCATCTCCTCCTTTCGGGTTTGCAAACATGGAGGGGGGTGATTCGAACATAGACTGCACTTCATGAGCATGTGTGTCCATGTCTGTCGCATCATTGCAACCATCCACATGTCCTGAGAAAGCCTCGCTCAGCTTGGCAGCGGCCGTCGAGATCATGAAGTGCTGTGCCGACGGCGGGCTCGCTGAGTCGGCAGCACTGTCGGCGCCCACGGACTTCGAAGACATCGCCCTGGCAATCGTCGTCTATATCTATGTTCATTCGGAATCATTTGATTGTGTTGTCATACAATGGCATCATGATTGCAGTGCGATCTATGATTCGTTGCCCCAACTACCCCTTGAACCGTTACATCGGGTTTCCTCAACTCAGTCCCCTCTCAACTGAATCGCTCAATCATAGGCTTTCTTTTCTAATCATACTAGAGCCATCCGCTTGATCATCGTTCATGGGATGGCGTGTCATATCTGTCATGATCATTGACCACAGGCGGCTCGCCCGCACCGTGTCATCATTGAGCCATATCATTGAATCATTGGCTCATGTGACTCATCACTCTCATCTCATTTCTCTCTCTCCCTTGGAATCATTTCAATTGGGCTGCGGTTAGACCGCGAGCCTCATCATCATCATCATTTGAGTAGTAATTATAGCATCTAGACCCTTGTTTATCATGTTCCCTAGACACCAGCTATCTATGAATATCGGCTTTCCACAATTCAACCAAGCTGCCGGTTGATCCTCTTCTTGGCAGCCATGTCGCCCAAAAGCCAACGGCACACCGATCTAGCTCGAAAGAAAACCCAGGCCACAATTTCAATTCAACAAGTGTGCGATTCTGAAATGATGTCATGTTCATCCAGAAATGGCCCCATGTCTCATGATTTGAGTCCTGAAATTCCGCAGCAATAACACCGAATCCATCAAGCACTCTGAAAATCAACATGCGGCCAATGCAGAACCTTTTGGTAACATAGCTGAATATTAGGAGCCCATCCAGAACGATGAAACGTAGGAGAACGGAAATCCATCCAGAATGCGAAGGGCCGGCTATGATTAAAAGGAACCCTGTTCAAAATCCTCTTTGAGCGGTTAGAGTCCCTGTAATACTTCGCTTTGAGGGTTCGGTGGCGTAGCTTCTCAAGAGCTTCAGGTTTACCTATCATGAAAAAATGGTTTCTGTGGGCTTGTTAGGGTTCAGGGTGCAGGATTCTTTCATAAGTGAGGAGGTAGAAGAGTGAGTAGGTAGAGGGCCACGATACCCGGAGTCCATCACCTGCAACCCCGCCACAAGCATCGGACAATGACCGCTCAAACTGCACCAAAGAATGGTACTGCAACACAAAGATGGCAATAGATGTTGCTCCAGCAAACAGACGAAGCATAAAATAATGTAGGCCTAAATAATTACCTATACTATCTTGGGGGCTCCTGATTATAATTGTAGAAAAATCCACAAACTGGCTTGTAATTATTAAGGCCCCTGCAGTAACAGAAGAAGTGTCCTGAAATCTTGGATGCCTGCGGCTTGCAATGTAAGCAAAACCACGCAAGATTTCGTCACTGTTCCAGTTACCCGAAGGGTACTAGGTACTGTTCTGGGGCATACTTTCCCAAACCATAATAGTAAATTCTACTATAGAAACCCTACATTCTACTATATAGGTACTTCGGACCCTTTGGGTTAAGCTTCCATTCGTGCTCTTGAAGCCACAACCCTGCATCCCGGCTGCGTCTTGAGCTCGGGAAGTAGTTTTATTATTGGTGTCTACGGGTTTAGACTTATAATGTTGGAACCTGACTAAGAAACCTTGTGCCTATAACCCCAAAATAGTAGGATTCGTATAAGAAACCCAGTTTCTTAATCAGGTTCCTGCATTATGCAAGGTTTCGCGCCTGCCCTGCATGCCGCAGCAGGTGGCCTGCACTACGCGGACTGCGACCGGAAAGCTATGGAGCAGCATGGTTTCCTGGGCAGTGACAGGAAGGATGAACTGCTAAATAGGAGCCTAGCTCACTAGGTCCTAGGGTTCATTTAAAGGGGACTAAAAGGGGTACTGTAAGGGATCTATAAGGGTACTATAGGTACCAATACAATTTTTGGGGCTTCCCTATTATAATTATAACATAGTGGGCCCCAAAATCCCATTCCGAATATTATATACCCCTATAGTACATCACTGGTACCTCGATCAACCCTTGTAGCCGTGTAATTGTAGTTGCATTGCAGCAGGCCCAATAGCAATCTTAATCGTAACCTGACTATAGTAACTCATGGCACGTTGGATCTTTGTCGGGGTCACTATAGTAGTGACTGTTGGGTTTGTTACCGTATAAGCGTTACGATAGTGACCGCAACAAAGGTTTACGACAACGGTAAGATTTCGGGAAAGTCTTTGAGCGGGAGCACCCCAAAGGCCCTTGACCTGCATCGGAGACTCTTTGGGAGGAGTCCTGTCAAATCGGCGTAGTTTTGGTTCCGGGCTTATCGTGGAGGGTCGAATGCATGGACTTGCTCATGAGACCGTTTCTAGACCCGTGACCGGCCCGTCTAACAATGGGGAGGAAAGAGGGGCAGAGAGGGGGTTAATCCGCAAACCACATTACCTTGCTTCGGGGCTTCAATCAAGTATCGCTGTAGATACCCGACTTCGAAGAAGCCGAGGCTGGTATTTGCCGCCGGAATGGGCTGGCGATGGGCTCTACCAGGGCTTGCCACCCGGAGCCAAAAAGTCCACTGATAGCAAAGGCACACCACTGCAGTAACCCTAAACTTTGAACCTTTTACCCTGAGCCCTCCCCTAACCCGAAACCCTAAAACCCTAAACTCAAGGCATAGGCCGCCCACATACTGGGTGGGCGGCGCTAAAGCCCCTCGACCTGGATGGTGCAGAGCGACCCAAGACGCCTGCTCGCCTCTCCACAGCCATGGGGACGGTAGCACCCACCTCGACACCAGTACTGGTCCTTATTCAAGTCGTTACGCTAAACCGCCCCCCCCCTTCATGGGCAACTTGGACCTTTGAGGGGGGCCTGGGGGGGAGAGAGGGAGAGACAGAGAGAGAGAGAGAGATGAAGAGAGAGGGAGAGGGAGAGAGAGAACAACAAAAAACCTGATAGGAGCCACGAACCCGCATGCAGTTGCACGCCCGATCTTCCCCCACGCGATCTGTGGAGTTCTCCCTGAGCTTTGCCCGATTCGAAAGCCGTGGGGACGCGCGTCCTTTGGAGTAAGGCTTAGTCCAAAGCTTCGAAACCTGAACGCCACGACCCCAAACCCAAATGTCTAAACCTTATGCCCATCACTGGAAATCCTGAAACAGCCACACATAACCACACCCCTGAACCCCTAAACCCCCGGGTAGACTTCACAATCTTTCCACAATCCAGGCAGCGCCAAGGCGATCCCGAGGTCCCGTTCTGCTACTGTGTACTATGAGGGTTGCTGGACGGGCTACTGTATGGGTTACTGTGAGGGCTACTTGCTACTTCAAGGATGATAGCTTCTGCTAGAGAACGTGGTTCGGGTGGTTTGGTTTGCAAGGGTTTAGGGTTTACATACAGACATACATACACAGATGCATACATAGATACGTACATGGATACATAAACATACATACACGCATGTGTACGCATGACAGCAAACAAGGTCTGTTTACAGAAACCCTAACGCCCCAACTCCAAACGTACGTTTCATTACACTATAGTTCGCAACGAACATTGCCTGTAGTAAGCCCTGTCATACACGCCATATTTCACCGTACCTACCGGAGCTGGCTTTCCTGTGCACGACGCGGTGACATGTAGCGCATGCATGGTGACGTTTGCGGAGCATGGAGCAGACCTTATAGTAGCAGTTAGGGTTTAGGGTTTAGGGTTTAGGGTTTATAGGGTTTATAGGGTTTAGGGTTTATAGGGTTTAGGGTTTAGGGTTTAGGGTTTATAGGGTTTATAGGGTTTATAGGGTTTAGGGTTTAGGGCTATAGCGGCTTGATAAGTAGAATTGGGCTTCATTGGGTTTTGCTAGGAGCGTTTGGGCTTCACGAGGTTGAATGTGGGAGAGTTGCCACTTCGATTCGGGCTACCAAGATATGCCAGGCCTGTCCATCTTGAACGAATAGAACTGATGTAGTCGTTTTGAAGCATTGCAGTTCCTGATTTCTAAACTTTCCCTAAACTCTAAACCCTAAACCCTAAACCTAGACCAAACCATGAAAGCCGGCCTCGTGGTCAAGAGCCTAGTTGGGATACGCTAAGTCTCTGTGAGAGGTCGTGCGCGCGGTCAACTTCAGACATGATCCAAAAGTGGAGCCGAAGGAGGTGCCTGGGATGTTTAAGTTTATCTACAAACCGTAATTATCTGCTGTCATGCACTTGTCGTGCGAGCTCCCTGCTGCCGCTGATGCCGATGTTGCTGGTGCTGATGCGGCTGATACCGCTACTGTTGCTCCTGCACTGGCTTGTCAGCTACAACATGCAATTGGGAAGCAGCAGCAGCGACAATAACGAGCATGGCCGCCCCTGTCCCAGCCACCGGCACAACCGCAACGATGACCACCAAGCATAGACGACGACTATGCCGACTCCAATGCTCGTATGTGAATGCAGTCCCTGCCTCTCCATGTCCTGCCATTTCAATCCAGGATTCCTGCGCAAGTGGTCTACGTGTGTCTCCGTGTTTGTATGCTGGATATGTGTGTGTGTGTATACATGTCGGCGTATGTGTGGGTGTGTGTAGGTGTGCGCCCGTGTGAGTACCCGTATGTTTTGGGTACTGCACCCATACAGTAAGAGTCTGTAATAGGGCTACTATTAAGGTCCTAATATATCTATATGATGAATATTATTCAACTATTACTGAGTGGGGGGCCGTACCCAATGTATGCTTCTGCTTTTGTTCGAATGCTTCTGTACCGCTCATGACCCGAGACCCGCTTGCACAGAGTGGATCAGGTTCAGTATCGAGCAGTTACTATAGCGGCCTAAATCATGACTCAATATTATTCCTGAGGGCTCCTGGCTACAGTTATAGCATAATATGCACCAACGCCCTGTTTTCATCATCAAGGCCCCTATATTAATTACGTAAGACATGACATCTGGGTCGGGCACCCGGGGGTGGTTGTGTAGGCAGCGGACCAAGAGAGGTGGGCAACTGTGGGTCTCCGAAAATTGGGGGGGGGGTACCTTATTATGGGATCCTTATTCTTAGGACCCTACTACTTAGAGTAGCTTCAGATGCGAGAACATCGGCAGGGATCAAATTTCACCAGAATTCGTAAAGTTGAATCAGGGTTTCGGAACAAGAATTTTTTGTCTGGTCGAGCCTCCCAAAAGACTTTCCGAAGTGTGGGAGGCTTGGAAACGCTCCAAATTGTTCTTGGGTCGGCGGGCAAAGACTGGTAAACGCCAAAACATGTTACTTTGTTGAGTGGGAAGGGTCGCCCCTAAACCCTAAACCCTTTTCGGCCCGAGAGGCTTGGAGACCGTATTTCAGCGTCCTTATAATAAGGATCCTACTATTTGGGGTACCATATTTGGGTCCCCTATTTTCGGAAACTCCCATGTTGCTTTTTGGAGTGAGCAAAGAAAAAAGCAGATACAATTTGGAACCCAGAGTCTGGATCTCGTCTAAAATTTCATCCCGCTTCATACTCCGTTTTCTCTGCTGAAGGGTGTCTTATCACAGTACTAATTACACACATAGCTGATAACTGTTCAATCTCTTCAGATACGAAAGATAAGCTATGCTCAATATGCAACGGAATTATTGCGCTTCCGCAGCCTTGAGATATAGAAGGGTAGCATACCATCTGTGTAGACCCCCCCAAGGGCAACTAAACGCGAACTAGAAAAGCTGACCCCTTGTGAAAATGTTACAGTAAGCAGGTCATGTCCCCAGACCCTAAACCCTAAAACCCCTAAACCCCTAAATCCTCAAGGTCATGTTCAAGATATTCTGTTTTTGTTCGCCTTGCCAGGACAAGCAACGCTATCTGGCCACCTATGTGGGTGAGCCAGATGGCAGCCTGAGCACCTCCGGCATGTTTTCTCGTCAGCTGTTGCGAGATTTTGGCGTTTTTCCCTTTTTGGGCTTTACCCATGGGCTCCATAGTAGTTCCTTTTCGGGATTACCTTATAGGATCCTATATATGAACCCCAAAAAGGAACTACTTTGGAGCCTCTAGGTAGACGATCTTGAGTGCTCATAATATTGCCAGAGTTTCTGAGATGCTCTAAAAGACCATCGTCTTGACGAGTGTAGCGGCAGCGTCACACGTGCAGCACATGAAAAGTCATGGTGCATTGCTGTCAGTTGCTACTGCCAAACTGTGCTGCCTGCCCCATCATTTCATGTCAGGGGCGAATGTTTGTGCAGTACTGTTGGGTTGAATCGAAGGAAGTCTGCGGGAATGTCAATTGGCCGAGCATACTTTCCTGAGAAATGTGCTGGACCGAGGAAGTAGTGTTGTGTTTTTGTTATCGCCGCACCGGGCGCGCCAGCCTGTTTTTGGTTGGCCGACCGGAATTGCAAGCCCGCCGCCCTCATTGAGTTCACAGTGCGCGGAGCTAACAAAGTACCCACCGCCCAGGTGGTGTGTGTTTGATCTGTTGCGCCATCGGCCTTTCAGACCCGATGCACTAACCAACACGAGCAACCATGGAGCGGAGGTGTTAAAAGGAAGAAATTGATGGAGAGATAGAGTCGAGACCCGAAACGACTGTTGGGAGACTGGAGTCACACTCGCAGGCGAGAAGCTCGCAAACGTGAGCCAGTTGCCTCTCGGCCGGCACGAAGGGTTGGAGCAAAGTGGGGTTTGCTTGAATCGTAGGGTGCCTTTATTTGGGGCGGGTGCCGCATAACGATTCCCTGAGGCCCTGAAATCAGCGTTTTAAGAGGGTGTTAACGGATACGGCATGTGCCAGGCTATAACCCAGCCATTGAAAGAGCAGTCAGCTTCCAAGCCCTACAGACCCCGGGAGCTCCATGCATCACCTCACGTGGGAGTTTCCGAAAATAAGGGTAACTTCTTTTGGGTCCTTATAAGAAGGATCCTACTAGTTAGGGTACCATATTAGGGTCCACTATTTTCGGAAACTCTCACGTGGCCTGCGATGGTGTGCGGTTGGCGAGGATCAAGTGGTTTTCATGTCATATAAGAGTCATGTACCAAGTTCGGTTTCAATCCAATGTTTCCGCCTAGTATAGGGGCCTAAATAATCCAGTGATTGTGCTGCCAAAAAATAGTTACCAGTACTATTTTGGGGGGTTCCTTAGTACAATTATGGCATAATGGCCCCAAAACCCTATTCTAATTATTAAGGCCCCTATATTAGCTTGCGAATCAGTCCAGGTTGGATTGGCCATTCGACGGGCTTTGCGCTCATAGACTGGACCCCCTGCCAGTGCCCAAAGACTTCAGACTTGGCGCCACTCAGCTGCATAGACAGAATGACTGAGTGTTTTACTTGCAACAGGGCGTGGACGAAACCCTAACCCCTAAAACCCTAAAACAGATGAGCTACGGAGTTTGCCAGAATGGGCTGTGCTTGGTCTGGCATTTTACAGTGCAAGCCCTTCTGGGCAGGTGCTGGACTCGCATGCGCGGAGAAAGGGCCACTGCATTAAGAACCCTAAAACCCTAAACCCTAAATTCCCACCCAGGCCTGCTTAGGCCGTACCCACCCTTTTTCTTGGGGTGCGTGGACATCAGTGATTGACACCATTTCTTGGGATGGACAATGGGTGGAACCATTGGAGAATGGTCAAATTCAGCCCCTAGGGCTGAGCCATGCCATACGTAGCCCCCATATTTCTGCCGGGGAAGCCTCGATGCTCTTTCGGCCACGAAAGCCCTACACCGACCTTTTGCTTTGGGCCCTTGGAAAGAGGGCCCAGAGGCCTAACCCGAAAACCCGGCAGCGGGCAAATTCCAGCGTTCCTGACCCCCCTGGCCCGCCTGCCCGCTCCTGGCCGCCAGGGCGTAAGCCCTAAACCCTGAAAGGTAATATTTTGGGTGGGTAGCCTGTGTAAGCCCACAGCGGGTGGGAAAAGAAACAGAAACCAATTTGTAATTGTTTGCCTGTGCCGGTAACAAGCCAAGATCAAATCGCCGGTATGTATAGATACAGGTGCAAGCATGCATTGGTACGCATTCACGGGCATGGACACATAGATCGATAGATAGATGAGTAGACAGATAGGTAAGTAGATAGACAGATAGACTGATAGATGTGTTGGTAGGAAGGCCGCTAGATAGACAGGCAGGCAGACAGAAAGACAAAACGCCAGATGTAGAAGTAGAGGGACAGATAGACAAGCAGATGTGTATATAGCTAGATGTTCTTATGATAGAAATAGATCGGTAGGTAGATGGGCAGTGAAATAGATAGAAAGGCAGTTCGGAAGACAGACAGATAGATAGAAAGATGGACAGCTAGATACATAGGCAGGTACGAAGGTAGGTAGATCGGTAGACAGGTCGGTAGCTCGTTAGATTAATACATCTACCGGTCGATAGACAGACAGTTGCTCAGATGGATAGTTAGATAGATAGACGGTGAGGTATGTAGGTACAAAGACAGCTAGATGAACAGACAGGCAAGAAAGATACAGCGACAGAAAGCCTGACAGACAAGTACGGTAGCTAGATAGTTAGATAACTAGACAGGTAGAGATAGTTAGATAGACAAAGATTTCTGCATATGAGTGCTAGAATGGTTGGAATGGAATGGCATAGCATGACATGGAACGAGCGAAAGAATGAACCACTGAAGACAAATAGTGACAGGACTGAATGAATGAATCAATGCACGACGGAAGGAAGTATTGAATAGAAGAAACATGGAACGGAATGAAATGACATAAGAGACTGAGACGGCATGAAATGAATGCAATGAAGAAAGGTTGAAACGACAAATAGAAGTGCATGCAAGAAAGATCGAATGAACAAGTCAACTTATTGCATGCCGGAAATGATTAATGAATGATCGCGCGAATAAACTGAATGACCCGAAATGCAATGCAGTGCAACCCCGTGCCATGCAATGCAATGAAAGAAAAGAACGAAAAAACGAATGAACTAATGAAGCCCTAGAGCCCTGCATAACTTCAAAACCTAACAGCCCCCACAATCCTGACTCTAAAAGCAACCGCTTGTAAAACCCAAACCCCTAAACTCCAAACCCTAAACTTTACACTGTCAGCAGAGGTGATCACCGGACCATCAGGCCCTGACTAGCTGCATCGTGCTTTTGGGGATGAGGATGAGGCTTTAGGGGAACTCTTTGCGAATTTATCGGCGCTTCATGAGTAGGTTTGCGGATTCTGCGAGGTATTAAAAAAAAGAGATTTCGGGTTATGTTTCGAGTTTTGGGTTTTTGCGCTTGTAGTTTGGGGTCTATAGTTCAGGGAGAGAGTGTCATCAATTTTGACCGCCCCATGTCATGTGCCTGAGATACCTACAGGGTTTTAGATTCATGGTTTAGGGCATAGGCTTTAGGGGCCCCCACCCTGTAGTAGTGGTATAATAGGAGAATAATAGGGCCCTAATATAATCCTTATAGTCACTATTACAGGGTGGGGGCCCCTTCTAAGGCATAGTCTTTAGGGGCCTTGGGTCCGGGATTAGGACTCGGATGATGAGCGTTTAGAGGGCCTCTCAGGATTTTGGACAACTGCCCGTATAGGGATTGTTGAGAGGATTCCGCTCGCACGGCCAGGGTGTACAGTATACAGGGCACCAGAACCTAGTAGTAGAGTAGGCAACCTTTAACTTTTTTTGGGTAGTATAGTCCCTATATAATCCGTATATAACCAACAAGGTTAAACTTTAGTTCTCCATGATACCCGACAAGCAGGAAAACCGAAAGCCTGAACCCCCGGCTCACACGGGGGCCTGAATCATTAGACGAGGGTTTGGCGGCATGTATTGTACCAGAGCCACGACGTGAATGGTATGTGGACCTTCATTTGAGTAATTCTGCAGACCCCTATATCGAATTCTTCGAATCAGAGAATTCTTTATGCAAAGCCCCACACAGAGCTTTGAAAGGAACCCTTGTTTCAACCTACGGTAACCCCCCGTTTTGGAAAGGACAACCCGGGCACTTGCAGGCTCAGGGAAGAGCTCGTTGGCTGCTGATGTGTTCGGCGCCAGCCCAGTGATTTCCTGGCCTTTCGCCTGGCATTTGGAGCACTGGTTTTTGGAACTTTGAACCTTGCTGGGCGCGAGGGAAAAAGCATATCTCCCACACCCTTAACGCCTGCAACGTTCGAAGGTCTCCTGCTGAGCCGGTGATCGCGCACTTCGAATCCCTTGAATGCGCTTACGAGTTTCTTGAGGCCATAAATTTCGTGTACGGTTTAGGAGTAATAGGGTGTAGGACAGCTGAAGAACTTTGAAGATTGGGGCTTAGGGATCCTTTAAGGATTCCTATATTGAAATATCCCCTTTAAACGGGATCCTATAAAGGAATCCTTTAAGGATTCACTAAGGATTCCTATGATTGCGGCACACTTGCAACACCCAATCAATGCTCTGGGGGCCCAATGAAGATGGTCACGGATCTTTTGACCCCGCAAGACTTGACTTCAGGTTCAAATTGCCGGCTGCATACTGTAGGGGCCTTGATATATACCTATGCTATTTTGGGGTTCTTCATTATAATTATAGTAGAAGATGGCCCCAAAACTCTATTCTAATTGTTAAGGCCCCTATAGTAGCCCAGACCCCTGAACCCCAGGTTCCTCCCCACCACCAACGACGAGGTTTGTTCTAAGGGGGAAGGCTGACTGCGGTGTGCGTTTGGCTTCAGGGCTTGGGGGACCGAGTTTCGGATTTTGGGAGACAAGGTCCTTTAAGGTTTAGGCTGGGGGTTTCAGTCTAACTAGCGGGGCTTGAATTAGGGTTCAAAGAGAGGGACATGAGTGAATATGGAGGCCAGTGGCGGTAAATTACAGTACCAGCAACTCCTCAGAGCCTTCACAGTTGGACCTGTAGTGTTAGAAGATTCGGTGGTACGCAGATCAGAATCCCCAGTTCGCACCAACTTCCTGCAGCTGGCACCGGCAAGCCTCACGGATTTCAATACGTCGGTTCCCTGCAGAAGGATGTGAGTCACACGGAAAACCTACAGGCTTCAAGCCTATAAGACGCTTTTTGTTTTGGATTTATTGGCCCCAAGTTTGGTAGTTACAATGCAGGGGTTTTGCTTCATGACAGCGTCAATTCCTGGGTCCAAAATGCAGGCAGCTCACTTGCACCCGTCGATCGCGATGAGGAGCATCGCTTGAGCTGGTGATGTTAGATTGGGACGGTTCGACTTGCTTTTGACCACGGTAGGCTGTTTTCGTGCGGGTGCCGAATCACCAGCGGCTTCTTGCAACTTATCTGGAGGCCTTTTTCCACGCTCAGCGGCGGCGAGCAGGACGGAGTGCACCGAAGGGAGGGAAAGCGGTAGCGAGATGTAAAGATAATGATAATAGAGAGTTTGCGGTTGCAATCCGGGGGAGCCCGAAGTTCTGGCTAAACTCAATCTCTCCAGAAGAAATCGGAACAGTTACCGTTTCGTTTGCGAGACATAGCTTGTGCAGAGTTTCTTGGTTTGTGATCACTACAAGTATGATGATTCGCTACGTGGGAGTGAAGACTACCTAAGTTCATCACCCCAGACCCTAAAGGCCTTAAACCCTCATCGAAACATACTCCGCCAAGGCGGTCTGAGCGTGTTTAATGACCATCCCAGAAACGTCACATTAGGCCTCTCCAAGATGCAGTTCGTGTTCGGCAAAGGGGAACGGATCTTTACAGTCTGCCTTTTGTTGTTTTTTTTGTTCTCTCTCTCTCTCTCTATATATATATATACATACATATATATATATATATATATATATATATACATAAACTGTGTATATAGATATGTGTATATTACATATATATATATATATATATACATACACATAGGTTTTCATAAAAAGTATACACAAGTATATTATTCATACGCATATATATATATATATATATATATATGTGTGTGTGTACATACTCTCATTCTGAGGTCTAGAACACAGACCTGGGTTGAGGTAAGGCTAACTGTTTAAGGGCAAGCGATAATAATCATGGGCAGGGCAAAATGGCTGCTAAGACTTCTGATTGCAATAACCATACTGGTAATAGTGAGCGTATTAAGAATTACAAGAACAGTACTGCCAGGCTTTCCCGTACTATCCCTAATCCTTAAGCACTAAACCCAACCCTGAACGCTAAACCGTTTTCGGTTGCTGTTTCAAGCATTGGCAAGACCGCCTTGATCCAGGCGCGCGCGAACATGGCGCGCGTGCTGGACCTCGGATGCCAGAAAAACGGCCGCTTTAAGGCTGGGTCTAGGGTTTGGGGGTCCAGGTTTTAGGATTAGGGTTTAGAAGTTTAGGATCAAGGTGACTTTGTACAATCTGGAGGGGAGGGGAGGGGAGGGGGAGGGGCGTCTGGGAGATTCTTGGAATTCGGGGTTCGGTTCAACAGGCACTGCTCAGGATAAGGATCCTATTACGTAGAGTCTGCATTGGGGTCCATTGTTTTTGAAACTTATTTCATCTCGGTCATGTTTTGTCGGCTGAGGGATGGTCTTGGATGTTGGAAGCAGAGAACTTGACCCACCTCAATCCCCAAAGCTGAAACACTATACCCCGAACCCGAAGCTCATCCGGCCCACCCAGTGCTGCAGGCTCTGATCCTGGAGGAGTTCACGCTCCTCGGCTTGGAATGTTTTCGAAGGCAAGAAGCACCTGGGGCAAGTCGGACGACGAAGACGATGTGCTGGATGCTGTCATTTCGGTAGTCTATGATAGCTGCATGTCGTTTGGCGGTACTACCAGCTTGTTTGATGAGTATGAGTTGTTAACCAGAAGCGTCCGGAACTCACACAGTTTGACATCATTGCTGGTGTGATTGAGAAGACCCGTGATTTCAACCCTAAAGCTTAAAGCCTAAACCCTGAAACCTAAACCAATTAGTTTCGTGGAGTTCGACCAGACAGTTTTTTTCTGGTCAAGGGTTTCCGTTGGGCCAAGCTTGCTCTGCATTTGTTCAACGGGTCGCTTCGGACGGAAGCCTACTTTTAGAAGAATGATAGATATGCTACATGTTATATGTATATATGTACGTATGTATGTATGTACGTGTATGTGTATGTATAAATATATATGTATGTACAGACGTTATGAATGGTACAGTAGCAAACCATATGACAATTAAACCAATGTAGTATCACTAGTGTTTTATGTGCAAAAAGCATTTATGTATGTATACATGTTTGCATGTGTACACATACGTATTTCACATGTCTGTGTACATGCCATAAAGCGTATGTACACTCCATAGTCATGTGCTTTTGTTAATCGTAGAGTCCGTAGCTGTGAACCTTCCTGGGGTACGTGAATCCCCGTATAATCCTAAAGGTTAACCTGAAGTTCTCTTAAGACATTGGGCAATCAGGATGTTTATTCAAGAGGCCATAAACTCAAAACTCTAGATTCAGGTCCCAAAACACTACTGTATATTGTATAAACCCCACACTCTGAGCTCTAAGCCCTTCTCGACCCCTTTCATTAAAGGAACCCTGCAGGACTTGTTAAAGAAACCCTGAAAGGACTCCTTGAAGGAAGCCATTAAAGGAAGCCAGAAAGGAACCCTGAAAGAACTCCCTAAAGGAACCCTTAGAGCCCTTAAAGGAACCCTGAAAGGACCCCTTGAAGGAACCCCTTAAAGGAGTCCTGAAAGGACCCCTTAAAGGTACCCTTAAAAAGTCCCTTAAAGGATCCCTTACAGGAATACGTAGAGGATCCCTTGAAGGAATTCCTGAAAGGAAGGATCCCTTCAAGGAGCCCGTAGATCCCCTTAAAGGAACTCCTTAAAGGAGCCCCATGCAAGGTCTCTGGTGGACCGGGCCACGGCCCAAGCGATGGCTCGTGGCCTCCAGCAGCTGATCACGCGGAGGCACGTTTTGGGAAGCGGCTTCCTCTAAGGGTCCCGAAAAGAGATGCTTTAAGGGTTCCTTTAAGGGTTTTGTAGAAGGGATCCTTTGAGGGTCCCTTTAAAGGGTTTCTATAAGGGTTGCTTTAAGGGTTCTATTTAACCCTTCCTTTAAGGGTTCCGAAAAGTTTTTTTAAGGCCTGTCACGGACCCGACAGGGTTAAACTATATGGGTAATATAGCGGCTTAGCATTTCAGTGTTCAGGGTTTTGGCCTTTCGAGCGAGCTAACAGTTCGCGAGAAGAGACTCACAAGAACGAAAAGGTTGAAACAAGCTGAAAGCAGCTAGTAGCCCGTTTGCCCTTCATAGTTCTATCGCAATGCAGCCCGGCACCGCATTCTAGCTATCAAGGCCACATCAGGGTTACATAAGAGGGGCTTGCGGGCTTTGGGTATTTTCTTACATCTCTACGGTAGAGACAGATGGAGTTGCTACAGATAAAAAGGGGTTTGTTTCTTGATGGATGTTTGTCTTGTGGTTGGGATTTTGGTTTTGGGTATGTTGGGGGCTTTATGTCTTGCGCGGGTTTGCGGCTGCTTTTCCCAATGTTTAGTGCGTGTTAGCTTGGGGAACCAAGCCTCTGAAATCGGAGAAACTCTGCCTCTGCAGATACTTCGAGGCCTTCAAACACTGTCATCAGCACGTGTGCGGTGCGGAGCCCTTCACCCACATGTTGTCCTTGCTCTCAAGTACCACGCCCACCAGCACATCTCAGACCGATATACTCCAGGGGCCTAATTGATTATCCATAGTGTTTTGTGGGTTCCTTATAATGATGGACCCTCAAACCCCATCCTAATTAATCAGGCCCCTACATTAGATGGCATATCTTGTTAAAGGACCCTAGATATATTGGAAACAGCCGAAGCCTCCAGCTATGGAAGACCCTACGGCTCGTCGACGAGAGTGACTGATCCTCAAAGTTTTTGTGATTGCAGCAACATCTACTTTGTTAGTTTAGACATATCATGGACTAGGAAGCTGTGTTCTGAGGAGTTCGTTTCTAAGTAGACCTGTCCGGAAGACATTATTCGCAACTTACTGTATGAGCCTCTGGCAGGGACAAGTGAGGAGTAATCACAGCTGCGAAGGGCCTTGAGCCAGAGGACTTATACCCCCTAAACCCTAAATCCTAAAACAGTAGGAAGTACCGGTTTTTTATCCATGCTGAGACGAAAAGGGCCGCTTAAAAAAACAAAGAGCAACATACTGTTTCTAGCACTTGGACCCGTCAGCCGCAAGCTTCGAAAGCACACTTCTCGGATCGGTGCAGGACATTTCCGAAGATCGTGGTTGCGCCTCACCGAACATTGGACCTTCCATGCCCTATCGTCATAGGGGTACTTAGAAATATTTTTTAATTTTTAATTATTATAAGCCCTAAGAAACAGCTAAAATTGTAACTTTTGCTAGGGTTCTAAGTTCAGTATAGGTGTGAGGCAATCGCTGCGTGTGTTCGAAGGTTTCGGGTTCATGACGCACTGAGCATTCAAGAGGCCGTGCCAGCCCCTCCTTGCACGCTACAACGTATACATGACGCAAGCCTTCAACATCAGACGACATCTGTGGCCGTGAAATCCCCATTATCCACTATCTATTTTTGCTGGCTAAAGCCCTTCTTCCTAATAATACCATGACCACTACCCTCATTATTACTATTGCTGCTGCTATTGCGATCACTATCACGATTACCGGTACTATTACTTTCTTTTATTGCTACTGCTACTACTACTACTACTACGACGACGACGACCACTACTGCTCCTCCTACCCCTCCTCCTACTCCTCCTCCTGCTCCCTGCTACTACTACCACTACCACTACCACTACCACTACCACTACCACTACCACTACCACTACCACTACCACTACCACTACCACTACCACTACCACTACGACGACTAGTACTACTACTACTACTACTACTACTACTACTACTACTACTACTACTACTACTACTACTACTACTACTACTACCTACTACTACTACTACTACTACTACTACTACTACTACTACTACTACTACTACTACTACTACTACTACTACTACTACTACTACTACTGCGGCTGCTACTGCTGCAACTACTAGTAAGTACTAGTTAATGGAAGCACGTGAGGTGTCTTGCCACACCGACTTTGTCCAGAAGCCGCCGCCTCAGTTGTGCCTTCATGCTTGGCTTTGGGACGGTTCAACACGGGGCCCGCAATTCTGCTGCTCGCCGAGTTGTTGAAGGTCATATCGCCTATCTGTGTCTAGCATAGTAGAAGTAGTAAGTGTGCTGATGTTGTGCGCATTGTATAGGACCGTATGCCAGGTTCCAGTCAGAGCGTCTGCTTGTCGACATTTTGGGTTGGGGATCACGACTGTTGGGTCTATTATTTGTGATTCTTGTTCTTACAGCACCCCTGCAGAGCTTGTTGCAATGCTGCCGACGCTTACCTGCTCTTGACCTGCGTGCCGATCTTTGCAAATCTTGTTCGAAAGCTTCAAACATCCGTCTGTCTTCAGTAGAGTGATCGTCATCTTCCCCACGAACTCAGGTAAACCTTTCGGTTTGTCTTTGGATTTTGGCTCCCATCTGTAAACAGATGTATGAATGTAGAGAGGCGCAATTTGCGGATGCGCGGTGCTTGAAAACCCACTAGGGCCGTAGCTGTATAAGACCCGAGCCTAAGCTCCGACACCACAATCCTCTACAGCCGAAGAAGCTGTCCAATTGCTCAGCAAGGTTTTGGCCCAGAACCCTGAATACTCCAAAGCCAAAACTCAACAGTTCTGCTTTAAAACTAATTGCCGATGGAAAAGCCTGGCCCCAACGCCTCAAACTAAAGCCAAACCCTAAACCCCTATAAACCCCTAAAAACCTAAACCCCGCAGCCCTAAACCCTAAACCCCTAAACCCCTACGCCTAAACCCTAAACCCCTACCCATAACATCCATAAACTTCAAAGCGCTAGTTTCAGGATTCTGAATCTGAACTCCGAAAAGGAACTACTATGGGGCCTATGCAGGCAACTCCCAGTTTCAGGTCCTTACCCCTAAATCCCTAACAACCCTAAGCCGCTAGGCCCTAAACCCTAACCCCCAACACCCTAGAGCCCTCGACCCTAGACCGCAAAACCCTAAACCCCTAAACCCTAAACCTTAAACCCTAAACCCCTGCACCCTAAGCCCCTTTACCCCAAAGCGCAAAACCCTAAACCCCTACACCCTAAACCCCTAAACCCCAAACCCCAAAACCCTAAACCCCTGCACCCTAAGCCCCTTTACCCCAAAGCGCTAGTTTCAGGTCGGGCCTCGAGCCCGATTGGCTCTTCGAGTGCCACAGTCATCGCTCCTGGGATGCGATCTTTGAGCCGAACTTCCGATCCGGGGTGCTTTTTAGCGGGCCCTAGGGTTCCTTTAAAGGGAACTATAAGGGGGATCTATAAGGGTACTATAAGGGCCTCAATAATTTCCGATACTTTTCTGGGGTTCCTGATCATTATAACTATGGTAGAAAATATACCCCCAAAGCCCTAGTCTAATTATTAAGGCACCTATATTGTTGGGTTGTGCGGTTTCATATATGTTCTTTGTTTGTGTGTGTGTGTGTGTGCGTGCATGTTCGTGTGTTCGTGGTTGTGTGTGTGTGTGTGTATGTATGTGTTTGCTTGGAGCGCGGCTGTGTATACAGATGGTTGCGGTTTCCAGTCTGAGTTTCTCCGAACTCCGAAGTGTGCGACCCCTGCTTCCTGTGGAGGCACCACCGCCCTGAACCATTGACCGCCGCCGAAGTAGCAACCGGCAGTACTGCTAAGCACATGAAAACCGTTCTATACTTTCAACCCCAAAGTTTCCGAACAGAGGAAATAGATAGTAGTACAGAGTAGTACAACCGTCTGGCAGTCATGTGAACCGCAGGCCCTCTGCGAAGCCCTCGTTGATCACATCCCAAGGCCTTCTCCGGTTCGGAGCTCCAACAGACGGAGCTGTTGAAGTTCCGATGGAAGAGAGCGACGCGTTGAAGGCTTCTGGACGTACCTTCTCTTTGGCCTTGCCGTAATCATGGGGCTCTGTAGCACGCTGGGTTTTTGCTGGGCCCTTGTAGCGGACAAGGATCCTGACGATGTCCATCTAGGTGTGCCACTGCCGCCTTGAGTGCGATTGCTCAGAAACTCCTACCGACTGCACCTCGCAAGGCTGCACGTGCCTCTGTGGCAGCTGCGGAGGACGCCAGGGCGCTTCATGGTAGTCTTGTGGCACCTGACGCCGCAATCCTAAATCTACACGACTACACGAGTCTTAGCCCGTGCACCGTGCAACAGACATCCGCGAAGCCACATAATACCATCTGTCCAACTTGGTTGCGAGTTATACGTTGGCTGGGCAGGAGCAGCTCGCTGTTCTCCGGGGGGGCCTCGCCGAACACGCAGGCCCGCATTGGCGGACGCAGACGGGCACGAGACAAGTTTGTGGGCGGTCTGCCCGCTGCTCTCAGCCCAGGGTCTCTTCGTTGTTGCTATCATCCGTATAAAGGGCCCCCCCCGTTTATGCACAGATCCTAAAAACAGCAGAGCCTGCAGGCCAGCTCTGCTTCTCTGTGACCTACCGCACGGAAGTAGCGGCTTTGGCCGGGGCGCTGCAGGCAATCAAGTCCGAAGACATGCTTACTTAGGGTTTGAGGGTTCAGGGTTTACATGTGTAGACACGCATCGCCCCCGTGGCTTCCTTGTTGGTTTGCTATCTGCTTGCACCACAATACATGAACTCACACGACGGGATATCTCCACATGTCCGTGTTGTTAACAAGGGCACGTGCGTATGCAAGTGCGTGCGTGTGTGCGTGCGGCGGCACGTGCGTGTGTGTATATGTGGGCTGTCTGTGTGTGTGTGTGTGCTGGCGAGTGCCAGCTGAAACCAAGAACCTCTCGCAAAGGATGTGGGAATAGGCTGTAGCGCTGGCAATCGCTAGCACAGTGGCAGTAGCACAGGAGGGAGCTGGATAGGAATGATGGTAATAAGTCACAGCCCGAAGTCCCAGAGCAGGTGATTTGTAAGCCAGCTCGATAGCTGCCAGCAGGTACCATTTCGGAGCGAGTGCTAAGGAATAAGGAAGGAAAGTACTCACTGCTGTGCTCGGGCCTAACGCCAGTAACTGGTTAGTAGGATACTCATGGCAGCTATGGTGGTGGCACTGAACTAGGCACCATCGCTTTTTAGCCGCAGAATGGCCAGACACTATAGCAACCAGGTCTTAACCAGACTTGAATCCGGGATCAACACATGTCGGCATGACCAAGAAATTTAATCTAGGATCTGGTTCATCGTCGAATCGTAGCTCGACATGGGTGATTAGTCAAGATCCTGCTTACTGCTGCAGCATAACAAGACCCCAAAATCCCTGAGCCCTAAACCGAAGCTATCAGTTCTGGACCCGAGCCTGCTTCTCTTTGCTTCTTGAGGTGCTTGGAGATGCTGAGCTCTCGAAGAAGCGCAAGGTGCGTCTAAACTTGTCATCCGGCGATCCGGGGTGGTTCCAGACTAAAGACCTAGTAGTAGAGCAGGGAGTCTTTAACCTTTTTTGTGTAGTAGAGTCCCTATATAATCCCTAATATAACCAAAAAGGTTAACCTTTGCTACCCCATGATACCCGACAAGTAGGAAAACTTTAGGCCTGCAAGGCCCAAGTCATTCTGTACGGATCGATCCCAAAGCTTTCCCTTCAGCCTGAACAGGGCAAGCTCTGCATGCACCTCAACCCTTTTAGCTGCTCACTGAGCCTAGAAATTACTGCAGGCAGCAGAAACCTCTCCAACAGAATCCGAGACACCTGGTCCCGCGAAGCCTGCATTGGAGGCGCTGAGCGCCTTGGAAGAAGAGGAGGCGAGCAAGAAACGGATGAAGAAGGTCGAGCCTCGTCTTGTCGGCTTTGCATGGTCTGTGCCTGCATGAGGCTTTATGGTATACCTGCCTGATGCCTTGCTATAAGCACAAATGCGGAGGAATGGGCATACATCATGTTTACACACACATAAACATATATATACATATATATATATATATATATACATGTATATATGTATATGTATATGTATATGTATATGTATATGTATATGTATATGTATATGTATATGTATATGTATATATATATATATATATATATGTGTGCATGATGTATGGGCAGGTATGTATGGGTATACATATTCCTTACATCGATACCTACCTACCTGCCTATCACTCACCCACCCACCCACCCACCCACCCGCCAGAACCCCTGCTGATTTGTGCGTGCACTTGTCCGAAATCTGGACACAAGTGTTGATGCTGATATTTCCAAAATTGATACTAGGCCCAGTCTTGCTGGAACAACTCGTCTGTTCTGTTGTGACCCTTCTCCCGGTGACATAGCTTGCAACATTGTAGGTACCAGGGTTGCCTCACTTAGTTGCTTGTGGTCTGGCAATGTAAGCTGCTTCTCGCATGCCTGACGCCGCACAATTTGGATTGCGACCTCTTTCCTCAGGAAGTTGAAGCCGAGCGCGACGACTCGTCACAGGTGCGAACCTTGGGTTGCAGGGCTAGAGTTATGAACCCTGAGCCTAGAATCTTGCTATACAGGCTGTTTCAGCAGCGAGCTCGATGGCGGTTGCTTCCCGCCTCATAGCATGCGGATCTGGTCAAGCTTGTTGCATGACAAGATCCGGATACGTTCATCTGGCAACAGCTGGCAATGTGGGTCATTGTTTGTTTATGTGTTCATCTATCTGTTTACTGTGACGGCAGAGCCACTGGCATCAGACCGACTCCCGATGCCTCTGTTCGCTTGCTTTGGGGAGCAGGCCTCGGGACCCGCAGGAAGGCCGAAACAATTGTATAGTGCTCACCGGATGTCTTTACTATAATAGAGGTTTGCATTGTGAGTAAGCATTGTTGCTTGTAGCCCCGGCATATCTATCAGATATGCCCCCAGCTCTGTCGTAGATTTTTGAGGCCGCCATTAACGACACCACAACACCCGCAGTAAATCAAATGAAACACTTGTACAACCCTCCCAAACCCGATGCTAGTTAGCAGGGTCCTGAACTAATGAACAGCCACTCGCGAGACTTGGCGTGTTTATTGACTTTACGGCTTGCGGCTGTTAGGGTTTAATTAGGGCTTTAGGTTATGTCGTTTAGGGCAGTGTTGGGGCTATACTTGTACTTTTCTGCTATTGACATGCTTCCGACCAGCACAGAGAAGACTGAGCTGCAGACGTGCTGATAATCATGACTGATCCGGTTCGTGCCTTCGTTTTTTTTTTCTCTCTCTCTCTCTCTCTCTCTCTCTCTGGCTATCAGAAAACACTTTCTGTCTCTCTCTCTCTCTCTCTCGCTCTCGCTCTGTCGGTGATCAGGAGTGCCCCGCTCGAAGAAGGTTTCATGTTGTCTCGTCAGAAGCTTCTCCTGCATTTTAGGTGGTCTGCTCTTGAGGTCCGTATAATTACCACAGGAAGGCAATCTTAAGGATCCAGGCTAACCATATTCCCCGAAGACCTTTGAAAGACTTGTCCACGGCTTGTTCCGTCGAACCTGCAATGCGGACAGAGTCCTGGCTAGGCAAGAGGCCTTGTACTGCTAAAACGCTAAACCTAAAAGCCGTGACCCCAGAACACTCCCTAGGGCTCCAGTTACCTAAATAGTAGGTTACTGGGGTATATAATATATGGTTAGTAACCTACTATTCAGGTAACTGGAGCCCTAGGGACTTATTGCCAGGTTGCACCCAGCACGAAGAGGGATGTGCAGCCAGATGTGGAGGCCCATCGCTACCAGATATAGAAAAGATCGGGGTTTGGGGGGCTGACTAGCTTTACCATAATTATGTTCAGGTATATAATTCCTATACCAGTTATATTCTCAATAGAGTAGGTGTTTGGAGGTCTACTATAGAAGGTCTTCAGGAATGCCTCCGGGCTTATCTAGTGGCTCTTACTACAAAGGATTCCGTTGAGTTCTATATTCGGGCTGCTTCTTTGCTGCGCGTAGTATATGGGAAGGATGTTCCGCACCAGGCTCCGCAGTTTGTATGTAATTAGCAGACTTCACTGTACATGGTGTGCGAAGTATGAGGCGATACGAGCAGTTGTTGTCCAAGTTCGAGAAAGCGTGGAGGAGGTTTTTAACCAATCAACTCACTAGTCAGCGCAGGCAATGATCCTCTAGACCCTAAACCCCAAACCTCTACACCCTTAAACCCCGAAACCCTAAACCCCTAAACCAAGCCACCAAAGGAGGGAGTTTGACTGACCTCAGGCCTCAGACCTCCAGGCAACGGTTCCAGGTGGTGGGGTAGCCCTTTCCGGTTGCGGGTGTCGTGCGTTCACGATGTGTGCAAAGTTAAGATGGTACTTGTCATCAAGATGATTGGGTTCGGAACCACCGAAATCTCGTGAAGTCAGTGTTTGGATCGTTCCCTGGGTGGTTTCCTTTTGAAACTCCATTCGTTTCGTGGCTTTCTCCCTTAAATGCCGCTCTGCAGCAGCCTCACCGGCTTCAATTCAAGAAGCCGGCGATAAAACTGCAAGGCAGCTGCCAAAGAACCCTTAAGGCGCCAAGGGTCCATGTACCCCAAATAGTATCTACCTTGGCCTTATACTAAAGTAATCACTATATAGGTACCTTGGGGCCAAAGTATATACTGCTTGGATACATGAATCCTTAGGGAACTACTTGGAGGTTCATTGGTCGTTTTAAGTGGGGTTATAGGCAGGGTAACTATTCATTCATTCATATATATATATATATATATATATATATGTATATGTGTGTATATATATATATATATATATATATATATTTATAATTATATTTATAACCCATATTAGCGGACTTATAATTCCACTTATAACTACCCATGAACCTCCAAGTACTTGCTACAGGTCCTTAGCGCACGCAGCTTCCAGATTCCTCAGCTACACCTGGAAGTGCGGCGGGCGCTTCCCAGGGAGTGGGTGCACTTCCGGGACCACCACTACAAGGACGGGTTTAGGGTTTAGGGGATTCTGTCGTTGAGCCTTCTGTTGGAACATGAGGGCCTTCTACGAAAATAGGACTGAGGACAGCGAAGATGAACGGCCGAATCAACCCTTATGCTCTAACGTGGGTGTATCGGAAAATGCAGGACCCTATGCATAGACTGCAACCGTTCGCATCCGTATTGAAACGCCCTTGCAAGGTAGTGGCGCATCTAATTGTAGGACATCGGGTACGTTGGTCCAATCAAGAGACCCAGAGAATGAGCAATCTGGGATACCCCCTGTACCTGATCATGTTGGGAGTAGGGTTTGGGCCCGGTAGCGAAACCGTATGCTGCCCCGAAACTACGTAGACTTTGTAGAAAATGCTAGTGAAACCCTCGCAACAAGCTTGATCGTATACACCCTGCCTGGATTTTTTAAAGTAGTGCATCTTTGGGGGTATTCCATGTTTATGGTCAGAATCGCCAATCCTATATAACTGCATTTTAGGGTCTAGGTGTCACTTACTCGTATAGTAAAAGGATGTAAGGCTTTCAGGGCTGCTTTACAGGAACGCTTAAGGGTTCTGTTAGGGTTTGTACAGGGCTTCTATGACGGCTCCCATAAAGGGGTCCTTGGACGGGTCCTGTCAGGTAATGTACATCGTTTGGCAGGTGCCTCGCGAAGACCCTTCAAACCGTCACCTCTGCAGGATCACACATTGCAAGGGGCGGCTGTCGTGTTCGTCGGAATCCTTGATGGCCGCGCATGCGGCTTTTGCTCCCCGGCTGCAGGGCCGTAAGGGCCAGCCCCACGAGATGCTGCAGTGCACACAGACTCTGCAACCTGTTTCGGAAGGCGCCGTGGTCCAGGAGTCGCAGAACTGGGTTCAGCGCAATTGCGCTGGAGGCGAAACGGGGATGATTTTGTTCGCGCGGACGACGATTCAGAGGAAAAGCAGGAGGAATAAGAAAGGGACTCCAAGGGTGGCGACTATAAGTTTTTAGCAATCGTGAGGTGATCGTTGATTGGGTTCCATCTTCACCTGTGTCGTGATGGTGATAGCATGGTGCCAGCAACCCAACAACATCATCATCATCGTCATTCTTATGCTGGTGCTGGTGACAGTTTTTTGGTGGCTTGATGTTGTGGATCACTTTTCCCCCTGCTAATGAACAGCTCCGTTTTCGTAAATGTCATGTTGTCGTCAGCATCTCCAGCATAATTCCCACCAACGTCGCCGTCGGAAGCAAGGCTTTTTTGCAAGAACAAGTCCAGCGTTCAGGGTCTAGGGTGATTTGTTGACCCGATATGTGGAATCGTCCAGACAACCTGGACGGAGGCCCCAAAGTAGTTCCTTTTGGGGGTTCATATATAGAATCCTATAAGGTAATCCCAAGAAGGAGCTACTATGGGGCCTTTGGGTAGACGGAGGCGTACAACGGAGCAACTGCTAAGCCAAGCCCAGAAGTTGGGCTGTTTAGGGTTCAGGGTTTTTCGCTCCTTCGCCAAACTTACGAAGCCTTCAATACGCTACTTGGAGGTTCTTGGGTAGTTATAAGTGGAGTTATATGTCCCCAAATATGTGTGATAAATATAGATGCCCTACTTATAACCCACTAAAAACAACCCATGAACCTCCAAGTAGAGCAGCAAGTCCCAACCGTCTATTTTTTCTGGTCAGTCAGCGGTTTAGGGTTTCAAGCCAGTTGCAAAAAAGGGTGGCCAAAGCTCAAGCCCCGCTTCTGAATCTCAAACTTCAAGCCGAACACCAGCCCCCCCCACCCCAACCGCGCAGGCAAATACGGCGCCACGAAGGCAAAGTGGGAGAATGTCCACTACCCTTTGCCATGGCTCAAGGCTCGGAGGAAGCTTCTTGTGCGTACTGACACCTAGTACTATTTTGATTTTTTGGGTTACTATATATGCCAAGAAGCAACGAAAGCATTGTAATTTTCGGGTACCAGGACAGGTTTAGGATGTAGCATTCATGGTTGAGGTCTCAGGGACGCAGGGGAGAAGGGTTTGGGGTTTGGAAACTCGCGTGTCTATGAGTTTACACTATACTATAGGGTTTCTCGGGCGCGGCCAAACCGTGAGTGAAGGTTTTCGGATTTCGTATCGTTGTTCATCTCGGCAGTTCGAGCCGACATTGGGTTGAAGAAGAGTATCGCTGTTGTAGTCACCACACCGACCATTCTGGGAGTTCCTCCGAGTAGCAGTCAGAAGAGACGGACAAGACACCGAGAGCGACAGAATCAAGACCGGAGGTTCCGAGCCTTGCAGAGGCAACCGTACTTGGAGTTTCATGGGTAGTTATAAGTGGGGATAGAAGTAGGGTAACTATATTTCCAACCCATATTAGGGCCCTTATAACCCCACTTCTAACTACCCATGAACCTCCAATAAGTAGGGGTTTACGGCTTAGGGCGCTGAGAGTCAAACATTCTTAGGAGTCTGGGAATTTAAGGTTTTAGCGTTTCTGGGTTAGTATTGGGGTTTACCGTTTAGGGCTCTGGTAAACGAAGGTCTCAGGAGCTTATAAGACGTTCAACGTTGCGCGGTCCTTCATGTTAGTTTGATTTTGTTTGACCCTCTCTCACTTGCCGACCGGGGCTAACGCATGTCGCTTGTCCTGGCAGAGAGTACTTTTGGCTCGTCTCTAGGGTGCTGACTGCTTCTTCAGGCATCTTGCAACCTCATCTCTGCCAGGCCCTGCTTGTGAAGGACTCTCCCAAAGTCCAAAGTTCAAAGTACCTTTACAGTAGAATGTAGGGTTTCTATAGGAATTACTACTATGATTTGGGGAAGTATCCCCGATAAGAGTACCTGAGTACTTAGGACCCTTTGACTCTTTCTTCGCTCTTTGTATTCGCCCTTGCATCCAGTCGTAAGCCTTGAAGGAGAAGTTTAACAACGTGAGGCTTAGTGTTGAGCATTTGTCAACAACTGAGCAAAAGCTTGGCGATCTTGACCGTTCCGACTGTTCCGGCGACTAACTCCTGAATCCCATACACGCCCTGTCAACCGAGAACTAGCACACGGAACATCCGTACATCCTGGACCTGATATGCTGCCTTCTCATCCGTGGACCCTGGAATTCAAGCCCCCGGAGGCCAGCAGAAAACTGTACCGTGAACACCGGACGGTGGTGCTGCCGGACTTCCAGGGTCTGGGTTCCGTGCCCAGAAGGTTAGCAAGACAGTAAAAGTGGGTTGGCGAAGACCAAGCAACATGTAAGTATCAATGTCAAGAACTTCAACCGGCTCCTACAGGGATCTATGTTGTTTGTGGGTCCGAAGTTAGAGGCTTCTGCGGTTTTTGGCTCATGCACCCCTATGTTGTAAGCATCTACACGGCTCCAACTCCTTGCTTTGCGACGCGGCTGACATAAGTGCGGCTACTTTGGCATACTTTTAGCATTTTGACTGGAACCCCGAAGCCTGCCTTGCGGTCTGACTCGAGAGACCAGTCTTCCCCGTCTTCTTGAAACCATCACTGAAGGGTGTAATGTCGAACGCTGATTCCTGCAAGTCCTTCCGAAAAATTACAACATCATGTGCTCAGTACTGTGTTGCCTCCCCGTAAGAGTCTGGGTAGTAGAACTATAGTATTAACTGGAAAGGAGATTAATGGTAAAAGTCATAGTAATAGAAGCAGTATTAGTAGTCGTACTCGTAATGGTAACTTTAACAGCAGCAGCAACCATAGTCTTGCCAGAAAGAATGGGAGCAGAGCCCTGCCTCCCCAGAAAAAAACACGCCAGAAAATCTGACATGAAGGGATACCACACCTCAATCCCTAATCCCACCCTCCTCAAAAAAATAAGCTACCAACCGGAAGAAGGCAGGTTAGTGTACATGCGGACATCAGCTTAAGGAACCCGATGTCCCGTACATGCAGCAAGCTCAACCTGCGATTCAACATGCCACATGTCAAGTCCCGTGCAAAACGTCAAGGTCACTAATATTCGGTGGCATTTGCAACACGTTCCAGTGCGTCGAGGCTGAGTCAACAGCCGCCGAGGTGTGGCACCAGTTCTGTGCGACACGGTTGGCAACCTCTGTCTGCGCAACGGCGCGGACTTCACTTCGCATCGCGGCATAACCTGATTTGTAGATGGCTTCATCAGGCTTTTGCCGCTGGAAACACCCTAACTTCCTAAGCCCCAAAGCTCTGAAACCTAGATGAGCACAAGATCCCAAAGCCCTGAACAGTCGGTAATGTAATTAAGCCAGCAACAAGGCCTTCCCCAATGTAATTGACAGTTGAACACCCAAACGCTAAAAAAAAGCGTCAATCACTCGAGCCCATCACCGGCCTAATCCTCAACCCCAAACTCCCAAACCCGCCACCACCCCAAACGGCAAGCGCGAGTCCCTCTAAGCTCGGTCTCGCAGACCCGACTTGGTCGAAAAACCCAGCTGCCGGCAAATCTTTTGGCTCGTGTGATTTCGGATCCCTAGGTTTCTGGCTTTAGGCTTGTGATTTAGGTTGCAGGGTTTTGGGGTGTAGGGTTGTAGGTTTTATTGTTGAGAGGGGGGCAGGCTTGAAGGTTAGAGCAATGTTCAGGATTCCGGGGACCAGTGGAACTATGTGATCCAAGGCAGACGGTGCATCCCTTCTACGGCAGCTACAGGCCAGCAAGTCTTTGTGTTCGCAGGTAGGGCTTTGCTGGCTAACTCATGCTATTTCCTAAACCCCTATGTGCGGGCTTGGGGTTCGAGTTGGTGCATGGTTCCTTCATCACTTCGCCGATGTTGTTTTGGACAGCCTCAGTCGCTGTGGTCTAGCCGTAGTACAGGATACTTGTTATTGAATTTTCTGCTCCTCGCCAGAGAACCCTGGTCATAAGTGTATTTCCCAGCTGACTTGTGGACGGCAGGTCCACAGATGAGGTCGCGAGATCATAGCCAAACCCAGTTCCGAAGAGCCACCGTTTAGAGGCTTTATCTCGAGAGTTTGGGGTCTAGGAGTCTAGGGTTTGGTGCTGCTTGGCTAGAAAGGGAAAACTACTCACATCACTGTAGAGCTCTAATCTAACTGATTGTGACGTTAACCGTAACCTTACAAAACGTTGTAAAAAAAGCATTCAAGCCCTTCTAGTAGCCCTTATATACAAACCCTTTAGAACCTGTATAGTGACCCTCATAGAACGAGATCCATCCGCATTCTTCATCAGCCCGACCAGTCTCTCGTTGGGGGTTCAGGTTCTGAAGCTTTAAGGCCTTTAGGATTTAGGCGGTTGAAGAGTTTTGGTTGTCGAGGCTTTCAAGGTTGGGGATGTTTAGGGTTTAGCGTGGGCTTCCGCATCTTGAGATCGTGCTACAGTTTTTCCACAACAGCCCCATCCGCCCACCAACATCCAGAACGCCTCAGAACGTCTTTTGTCCTCAGATCCGACATGCTGAAACGTTGAAGGAACCCAAGCCAAAACAAGCTGGACCGAGCAAGCTTTGGCGTAATATAGGGGCCTATATGATCACCTGTACTACAGTACTTGGGGGGTTCCTTATTATAACTCTAGTATAATACAGCACCAAACCCTCTTGTTTTTGTTAAGGCGCCTATACTATAGAAACCCTACTATAGATGCCTTTTTGAGGATCCCGTTTTAAGGAACCCTCTTCCATTTATTCAGGTCCTTATTTTGTAGTACTCTTATAGCTCCCTTCTAATATCCCCTATAGACCCCTTTGAACGAACCCCCGGACCTTCTAGTTATTAAGGCCTCATGTATTAGTGGATTCCTTGACCAGGGATCGCAGCCCGTTCTGGCGGGCACTGCCTACCAGTCGGCAGCCGGAGTCTGCGCCATGGCTACATACTATAAGGCCCCTTAAGTATCGGGGCATAGGGTCCTTTAACGGGGACGATAAGGGTTTCTATAAGGGATCCATAAGGGTACTCTAGTATAGGGGTCAAAATAATTTCTCATACAATTTTGAAGTTCGGTATTATAACTACAGTATGATGGCCCCAAAACCCTATTCTAATTATTAAGGTCCCTATAGTACACCATTCCTGGAAAGACTTACCGAAACAGCACTTCTGGTGAGGACATGCCCTCGTTTTGCTTGTGCTGTCAGACTACAGAGTCCTCCAACGTTTGAGTCGCATGCAAATGTCCTTTGCATTGCAGCATGCTTCAACTATGCTTGCCTACGTCGTTCGGGACGCGATGGGAGTCTATCCGACATCCTTGTGACAGCCCATGTTCCTAGCCCTAGTGTCGTCCTTTTGTGACTATTTGTCGTTTGCTCCGGTAATGTGATTGCTCGTAGGTCGACCACCGTAGAGTGGAGATCCAGGAAGTCGTGCGGCACTTCCAGCTGGAAGTTGTCACGTTACCCGTGGAAAGCAACCCAATCTCTCTGAGCTTTAGAACCCCATTGTGTGCCATTTTTCAAGTTGTGATCTGCGAACCGTGGATTTACTGGCCCTTCCACGGACCACCGAATCCTACCTCTTGAATCGGAGGCGATGACTGAAAGCCCATATGCAGAACCCTGCACGAGCCTGTCAACTCACACAACCTCTGCCCCCACCCTCAACCCTATAAACCTTAAGCCCTCAACCCTAAATCCAACCACAGCACCAGAGACCTCGTCAGGCTTGTCCGAGTTAGTAAATCCAACCTTCAACCCAAATCTCGACCTTAAATCCTAGACTCCAAACCCTCAACCCAAACCTAGACTCCCAGACCTTAAACCCCAAACCCGTATCCACCCTCAGCTTCAAGGTCATCAACGGCAACCTCAAGTACTCCCATGCCGCTCCACTCCGACTTAGGGTTTAGGCCTTGGGGTTTAGAGTTTTGGGATTAGGGTTTACGGTTTAGGGTTGAAGCGGGCATATACAAGTGTGTGCAAAAAGGGCTCAGGGTTTAGACTTTTGGGTTTATGCTTTAGGGCTCGGTTGGCAAAGGACTGCGTGTATGTAGGCCAAACTTCGGTGGTCTCTTTAGGGGCTCTGATCTAGAAGGCAGCTTCGATTTTCCCGGTACAGGGGCACCAGAAGCAACTCGAATTCGGCATGGACCAAGTTCAAGCCATTGTTGCTGCTTGTGTTGTCTTGTTGTGGACATCGCATATCGTGACTGGCATTGGGTGATTCAGATGAGGATGATGCCTGTAATTGGGGGACCCAAAAAGCACATAAGCATAAGCATTTTCGGGGGATATCCCTACCCCATGGGCTCCCTTCTGAGGGGGTTTATATGGTATATCCCTATCCTTATTTTTGCTTACGTGATTTTTAGTTTTTTGGGGGCCCTAGTAAAAGCAGATGCAATCATCGCCATGCTTGCGATGTTTGATCATTGTGGCGGTCGCGGCGCAAGTCGCCGCGACGATGAATTTTAGAGATCTTTAGGGTTCCTCTAAGGGATCCATAGGGGTTATAAGAGACGTGTCGGCATTGAACCTGGTGACTGCGGTAGCTGAGGTTTGCAGTCACATTGCTAGGACGTTGGCTTTGATGGACATACGGTTTCAGTTTTGATGTCAGATGAAGAGAACCATGGATGGCGATGGGGGTGCTAACAATGGCCGCAGCTGTGGTGGCACTGCTGGTGCTGTGTATAGTGCGGAAAGAACAGCACGAGCAACCCTTGCGAATTGCGGGAACAATCACCGAAGTCACAGCCTGGAGCCAGCTTCACAAAGTTGTGACAACTTGCTGAGTCACCTTGCTGAAGCAACCCGTACGTCATCACCCGCCTACCGTGCAAGTGACCGTAATTACGCCATCACCCCCCCCCCCCCTCTCACCCTAACCCCGCTGCACCCCACCCCTCCCTCGAAAAGCGGTTGGTCTGGCAGGGCGCCCTAGTCGGCGTGCAGTAGCAGTAGCAGCAGCAGTTGCTACGAGCAGCGGCAGCGGCATCGGCAGCAGCGGCGGCAGCGGCAGCAGTAGAAGCAGCACTAGTGGTAGCAGTAGCAAAAGATCGGGGTCGTCGTCGCAGTAGTGGTGGTGGTAGCGATGTGACGACGATGATGATGATGACCGGAGCCAGCACAGTCGCATGAATGACATGCGCACTCAGGCGTTTCTGGGAGCGTTCCAGGAAAATGGGAAGCAAGACGCATCGTTGGTGCAACATTTGAGGCTGCACCGGTGTACCGTGGTTCACGTGCTTGTCTTCATTCGCACTCTGGTTCGAGCAGGGCGGGTTAGATTACGCTGCGGATTGAAACATTGAATCATCTCATGTTGACTCGTTGTGTCACTAGTGCGACATAGGAATATCAGCAACTTGCGTCATGTGCCCAATAGGAATGAGTCATGTCGTGGGTTATGTTGCAGCATCAGCTGAAGCGGCCGCAGCGGCAATATAGGAAAGATGAGAGTGTCCAGGACCCATCCTAATTCAGATTGCAATTCTCAGAACCATCCGTATAACCCTAAACCCCTAAACCCTAAACCCCGAAACCCTAAACCCCTAAACCCTAAACCCCTAAACCCCTAAACCCTAAACCCCTAAACCCCTAAACCCTGAACCCCTAAACCCTAAACCCTAAGTCCTAAACCGGTCACACGTTGAAGTACTCAGAAGGAGCCTTATGGGGTAAGGAGGAGGGGGTACGAGACTACCCTAAGGCCCCAAAGTAGTTCCTTTTTGGGGTTCGTATATAGAATCCTATGAGGGAATCCCAAAAAGGAACTACATTGGGGCCTATGGGTATACTTGTTGAAGACGGCTGCAGTAAGCCCTTACCAGGTCCTTTTCAGAGGTGTTAGTCCCCTCTCCCTTACTTGGAGGTTCATGGGTATTTAGAGGTGGGGCTAGAAGCAGGGTAGCTATATGCATAACCCATATTTGGAGCCGTATAGCTCCACTTGTAACTACCCATGAACCTCCAAGTATGGCTTTTAAGGTCTTCAGGGTCCTCACGAAGTACGGTAATAGACCCTGAGCCCCAAACTCCGGTATCCCCTAAGTGCAGTTCGCTTCCCAGCCAGGTGGAGAACTCGAATTGCCGCGTCCTGGATGGAGTTTCAGTGCTCGCGCTAAGGGTAGGCGTTTGGTTCTATCACAGATTATGTTGGTTTCGTCCAAAGCCACCCGTGCTTTGGTTTACGAAAGTCGCAATTAGCAGTATTTTGAAGCAGAAACGCCACATGTGGCCAGGTCTTATGGTTAGCTTCAGTAAAGTGATAGGCGGTGCAAGGCAAGAGGAGACTAATCAATCAGACCCTCATGTTAGCTCCAGTTTTGGCCCAGAGCGGCCTCTGCAGCTCTTCAACGACAAACAGACGTTAAACCCTCAAACCCTACAAGGCTCGAGCCGCAATACCTTGAACGCGTAAGCGTATATATAAGCACTCAACCCTACGCGGTAGCCAAAGTATTGCGTGTACAAACACTTCACGATCCCTAAGAAAGGTGCCTGAATAATGACTCACACAGTCTTGCGGGTCCCGTAACATAATCGGTTGGAGTCCTGAAATGACCGTCGCGTTCTGCCCTCGCTCATAGAATTTTACACCCCCAACTATACTATACACTTGAAGACCACAAGTTTAAGAGTCTTTGACGGGAGGCCTATGCTAAGTACCCTATACATCAGCCACAGAGAAAACCGGGATCCACGTGGTATTTTCCAGCGAAATGCGACCTATTGGTATTTTCCTGCGAATCCACATGCTTGAACATGCCTCCAAAAACCCGGCGGAGAACCCAGCGGAATCCACTGCAAAAACCCAGCGAAACCCATTAGAGAAACCCAGCGAAAAAACGGCAGCAAACCTGTGAAGACCTGTGAAAACCTGTGAAGACCTGTGAAGACCTGTGACGACCTGTGAAGACCTGTGAAAACCTGTGAAGACCTGTGAAGACCTGTGAAGACCTGTGAAGACCTGTGAAAACCTGTGAAAACCTGTGAAAACCTGTGAAATCCTGTGAAAACCTGTGAAGACCAGTGAAGACCTGTGAAAACCTGTGAAGACCTGTGAAAACCTGTGAAAACCTGTGAAAACCTGTGAATGGGACTTTTGTGAAAACCCGGCGAAGAGCGATTGAAAACCCAGCGAAGAGCATTGTCAAAACCCAGCGAAAGCCACATTGAAAACCCAGCGAGGAACCCATAGGCCTGGATGGCATGAAGTATGGGAATCGATGGAAACTTTCCAGCGCAATGAATATTTTCCAGCGGGGCAGATTCACATGGTATTACCCAGCGAAAGAGCTACGTTTTTCCAGCGGGCGATGGTTAGGGTATTCAGGATCCAAGAACTGCAGGCTTTCGGACTATCTAAGGAGGTTTGGTAAGGTAAGACCCAAGGATGACCTGGTTCAGGGTTTAGGCGTATGGCCGAACCGCGAAGCCTGCTGAGCAAAAAGGGTAGCCATACATCCTTCACCTGTTCAAAGATCCTAGGCACCGCAGACCCTGAATCCCATATATATATATATATATATATATATATATATATATATATATAGAACTATGACAGTGCCCCTTACAGCAGACCTGACAGGCTCCCTCATTGGCACCTTTGTATAGTAAGCCCTACAAAGCCTTGACGGCCCTAAAGCAAACCAAGGCTTCAGCTTCGTCCCCCAAGAAGAGAAAAAGCGGAGCGCATAAGGCAGGGCTTTGGGGGTCGGGGTTTTCGAGCGTAGTCATGTGTGCCGGATTCGAGGGTTTTCAGCACCATTCCGGCCAGGACGGATGCCAAAACGGGTTGAGGGTTTGGAGGTTTGCAGCTCAGGGTCAGTTTTGTGGGGACAGCATGGGCCGTCTTGGGCTTTAAGGCTTTATGGCTCAGGTCTCTTGGGGGATGTTCGAGGGCTTCGGATTTTTCCCGAAAGAATTCTGTGTTAGCTAAAGGCACTGCAAACGAGCTGCATTATTGGTAATGGCCCGCTCTGAACCCCTAAACTGGTGCATCCTTCGACATCACTACTTGACGTAAAAACTCTAGTGCCAGAGCTGACCCTGCTACGTCGACGAGTAGCACGGTCATGGGAGCCTAAGCATCACCCATCACCAAAGCACTACTTGCCAGTAATTAGCATCTTGCTGTCAAAAGCGTTGGCTATTGCCACGAACACTGCCACTTCCACGACTACGTTGACGACGACTTCTACTGCTGCCGCTGCTGCAACTGCTACTGCTACTGCTACTACTTCTAGTCTACTGCTACTACTTCTACTGCTACTGGTACTGAGACTTCTGCTCCACTACTGCGACTAATTAGTGAAGACTGCTACTGCTACCGCTACTCCCGCTGTTCCTGCTGCTGTTGCTGCTGCCGCTTCTACTCCTACTACTACAAATACTAGCACTACTACCACGACCACTACCACCACCCCGACCACGACCACTATCACGACCCCGACCACGACCCCGATCACGACCACGACCACGACCACTACTACTACCACTATCACCACTACTACCACTACCACCACTACCACCACTACTACTACTACTACTACTACTACTACTACTACTACTACTACTACTACTACTACTGCTACCACTTCTGTAAATACTACGAACCGCCAACCCCACAAGCTTTCGCGTGCAGCCTCATCCCTAGACCCTGCATCCCTAACTTTTGTCCGGCTACTTAGGCCGCAGTCCCACTTCTGACCTGATGACTGCCGGCTGTGACTAAGGTCCCATAACTTAGCCCAAATGTGTCAAATACAGGCTGTACACACATGTACACACACACATATATATATATATAGACACACGCACACACCTGTCACGCTTGTAGGCATAGAGCACCTCAACGAGAATCGCTCGCAAAAGGAGGATTTATTGCGGGTTTGTTCGTCTCACTTTGGGGGTGAAATGCATGAGCTCTCCTTGCAGAGTTGCATGCAATCAGCAGGTTCCGAAAAAGCTGGGAGCTGTCGGCTTTGTTCTTTTGGGTCTCGGCACATTCCTTGCATTTCGCGTGGTGGATCTGTTGACATCTTCGCTCACAGCAGTTTGCTGTAAAGGTCCAGTCTGAAACAACTGCGCATGTGTCAAATAGTTAGCAAACAGGACGAGGGCTTTAATGTGCAATCACTGGCATTTGTTGTGGCAGTTCGCTTAGTCTTGTAGCTGTTACGCCAAAATGTTCAGACAGAAGTCGTCTGTCGCTGTCGTAGGAGAAAGAGTGCATCATGTGAAAAGCCATCATGTAGACGAAAGGGCAGCAGCTTCAATATCGGTCCCTCCGAGTACCCAAACTGCAGAAGATTGTGAAAATTGCACGAGACCCTCAATCTTCCTATACTCGGTATCCACCCGTGGAAGTAGAATCTCATCCTTTCTGCGGCCATCCCTTGTCCAAGTCGTAGGAATGCCATTTTTTGTGCAAAGTCAAACCCGAAACCCTCTGCAAACCCCAAAATTCGTCCGGGAAGGTGAAGCTGTAGCAGGAAGGCATATGACCTGCACAGGGATCAGAGAGGTTCTCTCTACTTATGCCCGATTAGCACGTAGACTAGGATTTCTTTCAGGTGAAGCACCATTTGCAGGAACCCAAAACAAGCACCGAAGCGATCAAACCTGAACACGCCAGCATTTGTCTCCTTACCCGATTTTTTGGCATCAGGCAGCATTTATCGCTTGTTGACTAGTCAGTTTTGGTTGTGCACCCGAACACAGAGACCTCTCGTTGCGAGAGCCTAAGCACTCATAAGCCTTAATGCTAAACCCTAAACCCTGAACCCTATATAGGCCCTAAACCCTATACCCTAAACCCTATATAGGCCCTAAACCCTAAACCCTATATAGGCCCTATAGCGCCGCCCCCCCCACATGGCTCATGGTGCGCTACCGCTCGGATTGTCCTGGCCTGTTCCTGGCCAGCTACTCATGCGAAAGGGCGAACTCCTCTTGGTTGGGGTTAGGGTTTAGGGTTTAGGGGGATCCCCGCATAATGGGCAAGGTGCATCTTTTCCCCACAAGTATTAAGCGGGGGCAGACCCCGCCGACTAGAAACTCGAGAAGTAGTTTAAATGATGAATTAGGGGGGATGGGTTATCATTAGTGTCGCTTTTGGGGGGATTTGCTCTTGCTTTGATCTTGTTCTGGCTCTTGCTCCTGCCCTTGCTATTGGTCCTGCTGTTGCTGTTGCTCGTGCACTAGGCTCTTAATCCGGCTCTTGCTCCTGCTTTCGGTCTTGTTCCTGGACCGCCGTAATCCAAAGCAGGTTCTAAACAGCGGGGATGATTTCAGGGGGGTAAATTCAGGGGTGTTTGATAGAAGGTGGAAGGGATCATGCACGCGTTGCCAGGGCATCCTTTAACGATCCTGCTTAAGAGAGTCCTATTGAAGGAGCTTAGTGGAGATAGTGTAAAGGGCTCCCTCGATCGTCCTCCAAGGAACAAGCCCGCACTAAGAACACAATGACCGTCTGAGCTTCAGGTGTGATAGCTACTATTATTACGATTATTACTATTATTACTATTATTACTATTATTAAGGGATAGCTACAATATATAGTACAACCTGAAGGCCTCGCGGCCCAACAAGTCGTTGTGGAGGTAAGTTCTTGCCCGGTTTAGTGGGCTCGGCGGATGACGGAGGTTCAGCATTCGTGCTATGCCTCCTGATGTTCTAGCCTGCGTTTTCGTGCCCTTGCGCTGCGAGACTCTTGATGATGGCACGGCAGAGAGAGAGAGAGAGAGAGAGAGAGAGAGAGAGTACGAGATAATACCATTGAAGCTGCTGATTGCCTCGGCAGGCCAATAGCCTGACACACTGTTAAGACTGTTGCTTTCGGGATCCGCTTGATCGTTCCATAAACATCAGTCTGGTTCTTGATTTCTCATAGATGTTCAGCCAAACTCCCAGCTCCGCAAGTCCAAGAACCCTCAGCCATTGAGTATGAGTCTTCCCTTACGCTGTCTTCAGCTATGCTATAACAATCGCTGAACCTTGCCCAGGCCTGTATCCTGGAATCCTATACCCTCGACCGTCAAAGTGCTGAGCCTGGAAGCAAAAGCCCCGACTGCTTGCTTAAAGCCGCGATTGCTTGCTTAGGTCTTGAATGTAGGAGCCTGAATCCTCGCTTTCTTTCTGGCCCCCAAAACGGAGGGATTGAAGCCTAGACCCAACGCGCTAAACCTGAAACCAAGCTCAAGCACATAGCCAACTCGCTTACATCGCTTACATGACTTTAATGGAGCCATGTCCTGCGTCGAAACATCTCTAAATATTAAACCTTAAACCCTAAACCCTAAACCCCGAAAGTCTCCAACCCCTAAGCCGAGAGAGAAGACTCGAGCTTACAGGCGCGGGTGCAGCGACAGCCGTGGCTATTAGGCCGAACTCTCAGTGTCGGAAGCCTTGAACGTTAACCCCAAACAGCCTACCCTTCTAGACATGTCGTAGAAGGACACCATAGCAAGGAGCCCTAAAGAGCAAGGTCTTACAGGGGTCACATAAACCTTAAGCCTAACACGACACGGAGAATTAAGTCTGTTGCTCTTCCTATTCCTAAGCCCGTGACCCTAAACGGTTTCTTGGTCTTGTATTTCAGCGCGTAAGGTTTCTGACAGGGTCTTTCTTGATTTTTCTAGGCTCGTTTTGACTAGTTCAGGAGTTCCAGCAGTCCTAGGGTCATTACCCATAAAAGGAATATACCATAATTCCCATAGTTTAGGGTCCTTAAAGTAGTGCAGGATTTCTATCATCAACCTAGACCCTACACTCCAAAACCCCATAGATCCCTTTAAAGGAACCCCTTCAAGGTATCCTTATAGATCCCTTTAAAGGAGTCCCTTAACGGTATCCTTATCAACAGTAGGGCTGTGAGCTTTGGGGGAGGTTCAGGCTTCTGATTTCTACTAGGGCGTGCTCTCCGGATGCATTGAATCGGTTTACGGTTTGGGGTTTAGGTTTAGTGTTTAGGGTTGCAGATTTGGTGATAGCGTTTTTTACATCCTCTGAAGCGGTGTAGTTCCGGCTTACTGGGTGCCCTGTATTGCATCGGTGTTGTAGCTTGTTTTGCTGCTCAGCAGGGAGCCTTATCTAGGTTTCCCTCTAATAAAGTCTCCGCATTTTCTGACTCTTTCATGTAGGATCCTGCGAAGTCTTGAAAAGATCAGGATGCAAGTTAATCATTGGCTGACCCGACATCTTGCTGCCTTGCATGCTTAGAGGGACTGGACTCGAATTACGAGTCCTCGTCAGGCGTGAAGCCATAACAGCATCCACTAACTTCAACCCCCTTGACACAACACCCTTACATGAAAACAGGACGTATGCCCACAGACCCTAAACTCGAAACTCGAGGCCCTGAGAAGACGTAGTGAGAACCCGTGAACCGCAAACATAAGCCTAAAAACCCGCAATATACCGCAGGGCTCTGCCCCTTTTCATAAAACCGTCATGAGACCCTTTTATGACCCTAACCCCCACCTTAACCCTGAATAGCCTACCTTTTTGGGGTTCCTTATTATGATTTCTTTATGTAAGTCCTTAAAAAGGTAGGTCCTTCAGGGTTAAGGCAAGCCCTAGACTAGCCGCCCCAAAGCGGCTCAGGCCTCATCATCCCTGCGGCCGCCCTGAGCCTTTTGCTGCTGACCGACGCGTTCAATGTGCCGGGGCACCAAGCGCAAGGGCACCGACGTAGCCACGGAGTTACGGGACAGTTAGGCGGCAAACCCCAAACCACTATTTAAAAATGAAATCTTGTCTTACGAATGATTTCGGACGAATTTTCCTTCGGTGCGACTCCGCCAGCTGGGCCGGTGGGAAAACACCCGAATTAAACATGAATCCCCACACCGTAAGCCCTGAAGAGCTGGTGCTGGTAGTCATGTGGGTGGTTGTCAAAATTAGGGTCCCTTTTTTGGGTCCCTATTATAGTACGGTACCTATTATTTAAGGTATCCAATAAGGGGCCCTAATTTCGACAACCACCCATGTAGACCCCGGAGTACGAAGGGACCTTGAATACAAACAAGCTTATGTCTCAAGGGTCGAGCGCTGAGCCCTTTGTTAGTATAGACCAATGGTAGTAACGCTAGTGAGTGACCCTTTCCGTGGTGATGCTTATGGTGACCCACAGAGATCCCTTATAGAAACTCTGATATGACCTATATTGCAAACCTTATAGTAACCCAGAGAGATTCCTTACAGTAACCCTCATATAACCTTTATCATAAACCCTGACAAACCTTACAGCAACCTGTGATTAAACAAATAGTCACTTTCATATAGTTAACTTGTACCGTAAAACTTATTGTAATATTTTAAAACCGGGGTGTACTTATCGGCATCTTGCAGGTTTGGAACTCTCTTCCCGAGACGACTGCCCGAGCTCCTTGGGCTGTGTTTGTTGCGCTTTGGGGTTTATGAATGTTAGGGTTTAGGGGTTTAGGCTTGAAGGCCCTGCTGTTGAGGAGTGTTCGCTGGCACACAATCCAGGCCCATGTGGAAAAAGGAACTTCAGAGCACAAATAGGGATGTTGATTTTCGTGGCAGTGTGACTTGCAGATCCGTCTGTCCAAAGGCGCAATAGAGGCAATCCGTTGTTGCTCATGATGTGCATGCGTAGCTTATTTCGTGTACCGGTTCCACCCGTCTTGCTACATCCGTTGCACGTAGCAGCATCCCCCCATACCAGAGTTTTGTGCATGTGTGGGGA